CTAAAATCCTATCTAATTTTTACAGTTTTTCTGTTGAATTAATGTTGCCGCGGGCTTCTGACTGTCCACACATAGTTCTGTTCAGCATATCGATACATAAGTGGGGGCATATTTACGTGTGAGAGCAGCCTATTACATGGAGAATCCAGATCCGTTAAAAACTGAAATTTGGAAATTTGGCGCTTAGTTCCCTTTCGTATAAATACGTCCTATTGTTTCATGAAAAATAAATGCACCCAAAATGACTATAGCATATTGATTTTCACACATTTGCACTCACAAAATTGGTTGGTAAATTCAACGAGTGGATGCATCGACCTGGTATATCAAGTTTCTGCAATTTTTTACGGCAAATCAGTAGATTTTCGGGATGTAGATTGCTTGCTTTCAATTCATGAATGAATAAAGCAACGCCATGGTTGAACTTCTTTGCATGGAAAGACGTTTAAAATAACAAAATCAAGACGTATTTTTAAAGCAATTGCATTTATATCGAGTCATTTCTTTTCAATAATATAACGGGATTTATACTACCGGTGATTTGGGTATTTTAGCCCCAAAATACCTTTAAATCGACTTTATCTTCTAGGAGTTCGATAGGATTTTTCCTTTCTTCGCTTAAATTATTCCGCAGCACTTTTCTTCAAGAATCTGATAAGATTTTGCTTGAGGCAGATCAAAAAACTTAAATTCGATCGAATAGCTTTCTACATTCACAATACACGGTCTCGTCAAGGTGCGTCTTTGACCTCGCAGTGTTGGATCGTGAATTCTCTTGTTGTGCTGTTTGCCTATTTTGAAATCTCTGTAAATGAAAACTAAAGGGGTTGATATGTGCGAGTTAATGACGCGCCTTATCAACACATTGTGTTGGAGTTCACTGCTTGTTTTTTCTTTCTTTTTTTCCTTTTTTTTCTTCCGTGTTGTACAGATACAGAAAGTTAATCTGAATCAAGCTCCACCCTCAGATCTTGGACTCAGAGTGAAGGATTCCGTCCTATTTTTATTATTTTTTTTTTTTTTTTATCACGAGAGTGATCTCAAAGGTCAGTCAGGTTCAAATGAATGATAAAGAGGAGAGGGTGGGGTAGAGTGACGCAATAGCACTGATACACGCCTGGATTGCAGCTGAAACAGGCCGAGGAATGAGGTGTGGAGGGAGGAGGGAGATTCTCAGTTTGGCCTAGTTTGAACAACCTATGACGCAATAACAACCGACCGGGCAAACCGAACAGGCCCGATGTGTCATCGAGAGAGGGTGGTGATGGAGGGGGGTCGAGGGCGGAGGTAGACGAGGAAATGCATCCGCAGCTGGTTAAGGATGAAAGGGATAACGTAATTGCCATATTTGCTCGATGAGCAACAAATTTCAGAGGGGAACAAGGGATTTGTCACTTATCGGATACTGACAGTACGCACCCTTAAATCCTTGTTAAGAATATTCTTCACACTGAAAAAAAATTCTCGGCGTCTTTACGAAGGTCTGTTGGTACCTTTACCATCTCACTTTTTTTACCAATCATTGGTAATTTTACCAAGACAGACTGGTAAGCTTACCTAAAAACCGGTATTTTTACCGTTTTTTCCAGGTAAGAATACCACTTTTATTGGTAATCAATTCCCGGTAACTTTGCCATTTTATCTCGGTAATTCTACCACAGTCGATAAAAAATATTGGCGTTTTTACCAAGGTCCAGTAAAATTACCGAAAAAGTTCAATATAATTTTACGGAGATTTCTCGGTAAAATTACCAATTTCATAAATGGTAATTTTACCAAGAGAAAACTGTGATCAAATAGAACCCTGAATTCTTGGTAATTTTACCCTTTTCTTAGTGAATACACCAAGATTTTTTTTTCAGTGTTAAATCCTTGTTAAGAATATTCTTCAACGCTTATCAAAACCGTAAAAATCGCACATTTTCCTTTTCGTTTTATGTACCTAAGTTGAATAGACTAATATATTATGGAAGATTCAGAAGATTATCTCTGGGTTTTTACTGTTTGTTTGTTTCTCCCTTTTCGCTCCTCATTTATTTGTAGTTACTAGTTAGTCATAATATCCGTCATTCATTGTTCATTTATTTTTCCATGCCTTTTAAAAATTTAGTGTTTGTTAAACCATCCATAATTTCATTCACACCAATGCAACGTTTATTCTCGCACATTCTGGCAACAGGCAAAATTTCATTGCAGTGTTATAAACATTTTTCCAAGATTGTTTATTCTCTAAGATAATGGAGTTCTTGGAATTTCACCTAGTTTTTAATTTCAAGTGCTAATGTTTCCAAAGGAGAATGATTAAAATCCACGTAGGCAGAGTTCAGATTCTGTCATAGTAAATTACTCCTGCAAAGGATTTGATAATTTGCATGAACATAATCTCATTTTTATGATGGTAACAGAAGGTCGAGTTGAAATTGCAATTGTTTTCTTTTCAATCACCATGATAGTAAAACAAAAAAAAAAAAAAACAAGCAAAAACTGTGATGAGGCCCACGTGTATAAAACTGCAGCCTACCACGCCGCCTCTAATAACAAAATCCTCGTTCTATAATGAATGAAAATCAAAATATGCATTGACTACTCCAAAAATGTCATCATCGATCCGCATGACATTTAATGAGTTGCGATCGCAGGTTTTGTGAAGATTCAAAACAAATCAATGTGCGAGGAAAGAAGTAAGTTGGAACTGACAATTTTTGTCACTTAAAACGTCTCTCTTAGCAAACACGTGAGAAGAACGAGGAGAATGGCCCTGTGGAATACTGATGATGAACAAATTTCGTCAAGCTGATTCTTTTTCCTTATAAAATCGGCAATCTGAAACCCTGAAGGCGAAATTCTTTTCGGTTTTGGCTATTTTAAAGCATTCACCAACAAATCACGATCATTTTAAATCGCGCGGGAAACTACCGGAGGGTTGTTTTTATACGTCGCGACACCCTAAGTAGAGCGGCGCAATGGCGCTTTTGTAACAGAAACACCGCGGTGCAGGTCTACACAATTTTAAATATTGATTTGTGGCTAAACACTTTAGGACGTCATAATCGATGAAATTAACGCCCTAATTTTCGTCGTTCCTCTGACATGAGGGCGTACCTCGATTTCCGCATGAGCCTTAGAAATCGTGGATTAATTTATGAAACAGGGCTCAGGTGGGAATTAAAATGCACTCTTACGTCAAAGAGGCGACGATAAAAGAACTAAGATTTTACGGATAGAGTGGCGCACCATCGAAATGTGTGCATGCTCAAAATTATTTCCGCGGGGGACAAAAAAAAGCTGATTTCAGAGCTGAAAATCGTCATTCCAAACTTATCCCTATTTCCTTACTTCAATGAGTCGTATTCGACACATCAAACACGTAAGATTGTATCGATATAGATTGGTTCAACGTGTAACATAGCCTCAAAAGTCAATCAAGTAATCTGAAGGAACAGGTTTCTTGTGATAGGTTTTTCATTCCTATAAGTATAAAATGGTAATGCAAAGTGAGATCGTAAGGCATTTTCTCATTCTCAGCTTTTATGACTTATATCCTAAAATTTCTGTTTGATGTTATGTTCCATTGTTTTGAACCAAACGATAAATTGAACCACTATCAAATACGGTCTATACAGTTGAAATCACGGAAAGAAATTAAATGTTGATTTAGCATTTATACTTTTAAAAAGATGTCCGACAAGTTTCAAATGCTGATTTTACATTTTAACAAATGCTAACGTAACTACGCCCACTGCAAAACGTACAAATTAAAATGTTATGTTAGCATTTTTGTATTGTAAAATCAGCATTTGAATCTTGTTGGACATCTTTTTAACAGTATAAATGCTAAATCAACATTTAATTTTTTTTCCGTGATTCGAAAAGGCCGCAACTCACATTCTTTGCCCGAGAAATTTTGTGTTTTTTGTGTGTCTTTCTTATTAAATTCAAGCTCTGTCCTAGTAATTTTGAGTGCTGCTCGGTAAAAGATCAAAAATATCAAAATATAAAATATAATATCAAAATATCAAAAAGTAGCTCTTTACTACGACATATCATGAACTACCAGGAATCACAAATCTACGAGGGTCTTCTCTCGGAGCTGGCTCGTTTTCAAAAAGGGGCGCCTTCGGGCGGCAACATCGCCCTAGACGGAACAGGTTCGAGCCCAAACTGGGTCAGCCCCGCGAAACGTCGAACCT